TTAAGTATAATTCAGGTGAGAAATCCAAACGTCCAGAAAACTAAGGAAATGGTTTGATAAACTCAGTATATCCATGCCATGTGTTTACACTTACCTCTGAAAATCAAGGTTTATAAAAAGTTTTCATTAGATTAAGGAATTTATGATGTTAAAAAGAACAGGCTGTATATCGTGTTAAATATAATTATCAAGGGGGCACCTGGGTGGCTCAGTCAGTTAAGGGTCCGACTTCGGCTCAGGTCATGATCTCACAGTCCATGAGTTCGAGCCCTGCGTCGGGCTCTGGGCTGACAGCTCAGAGCCTGGAGCCCGTTTCAGATTCTGTGTCTCCCTCTCTCTGACCCTCCCCCATTCATGCTCTGTCTCTCTCGGTCTCAAAAATAAATAAACGTTTAAAAAAATTAAAAAAAAATATAATATCAGGGATGTAAATACAAAAAAAAAAAACTTTGAAAGGAAAAAATAATGACATCAAGTGTTAGCGAGGAGGTAAAAGGGTACTTTCACACACTGCGGATACAAGTGAAAATTTGTAAAGTCAATCCGGACAGCCTTTTAGATAGATTTGTTAAACAAAAAGTGTACATATGATTTCATTCTTGAGTGATTACCCCAGGGGAAAAAAAAACTTGCATGTGAACACAAGAAATGCACATAAGGATATTTATCAACACATTTTTTATAAGAGTGAAAAACTGGAAAAAACTTGGACATCCACCCACGGGGAAATGATCAAATGAGTTACGACAGGTGTGTCTGGATAGACCAGGTGGGGGGGAGACAACAGTGCAATCTTGATGCCTTAAGGAAATAGAAACGGCTTCTCTCTCACTGACATTGTATGCCCGACACACTTTTGCTGCGGATTCAGCTCTGTGGCACCCTGAGATCCAGGTAGAACCATGTGGTAGCTGCTAGCCACATGTGGCCACTAAGCGCTGGGGACGTGGCTGGTTGGAACAGATATACACTGTAAGTGTAAATTACACACTGTGTTTCAAAGGCTGAGGATCAAAAATGTCAAATATCTCAATTAATTTCAATCTTGATTGCATGTTAAAATGAGAACGTTTACATATACTGGGTAAAAAAATTTTATTACCAAGTTAATTTTACTTGATTTTTAAATTTTAAAAAAATGTGGCTTCTAGAACGTTTAAAATTATAGACCAGCTTTTACTATATTTTTATTGGACAGAGCTGGTCTAAAACATCCCTAGTTCCCAAGGCAAAGGAAGAGAGATGGTGAGGCTCTCCTTGGCTCTTAAAAAGCTTTTGCATGGAAGTGACACGTGGGAATTTAATTTAAATGCCCTTGCTCAAAGGAAATTATGCTGGCACACCTGAGTTAAATCGAGTGAGGAACTACAATGCTGTCAGGTCCCCAGAAAAGAGCGACAACTAAGATACTGGGAAACGGCCCTCCACGGACCATGCTGCGAAACACCTTGCAGGGGTTAAAATACTAGGGTACGTGAGCTGACATACAGAGTCCAAAAAATATTGCTGAGTACACAAGCAAGTTGTTTAGCCATGCACACTGTATCATACCGTTTATAAAATACACATACCCACGTGGGCAGAACAAAACTGCATACTTTATGAGGGCATATATCATTCAGGTAACTATGCATAGAAAAACGTCTGGAAGGATCCATACCAAACTTAAACCAACGGTCACCTCTTCAGGGGGAAGGGTAGCGTTACCTGTAATGTTTGAATATTTAGACCTCAGGAATGTGCTCCTCTGTGGGTTGGAGGTCTTCTGTTTGCCCCTCCAGAATGTCCCTCTAGCCTTGTCCACCTGTCCGTCCTGTGCTTGGGGAGGCCAACCGCCCTGAGGGGTGACCACTCTCCCTGGTTTCCAGGGGCCTCCAGCAGGAAGAGTGAAGATCAAGGACAAGTATACACACCCATCCCATGCTGTCCCATCACACACTCTTCCTGACGAGGGGCCCTCCCCATGCAGCTCGCTAGCTGGCTGTCTTGGGTCTGAACATTGTTTCTCCCTCACCCCACCCTTAGGCTGTGAATGGCAGTGGCAATGGCAGCCCAGGTTACCGGACCCCTGGGGTCCCCGGCACCCTCACATCCTGCCCATGCCCTCACCAACAGTAACTTTGCTAAGTTCTCTTCAGCTGACACAATTTAAATGTGTCCTCTGCTTTTGTCCTTCTTTTGTCTTTTTGCTGGATTTGGAATACAATGTGTTACTTAAAAAATCAGAAATAAATACAAATCACAGAAGAAAACAGAACCTGGACGGAATTATGACAACAATGTTGAATTTGTTTTGGCGATAGGATTTTTCGCGAGCTACTTTCTGTGACGCTGCACTTCGCTGTAGTTACTTTCTCTATAACAAACGTTGCCTTCGTAATTCACTTTCTAAGTGAAAGTACAAAATGGACAACACCAGTAAACAAAAAAAAAAGGTTACTCTAAAAGTGAATTTATTCAGAACTTGCTGACCGTTGTTTATGGAACTGGGGCTAACAGGGAGTAGGTCCTTTCTTATCTGGCAAAGAACACCCTGCCTCCTTCATAATATCCAGGAGAAAAATCACGACTAGCATTTACTGAAATGCTCATGACAGGCTAAGCACGGTCTTGTTCCCTGCTGCGTGTGACCTTCCTGTGACCCACGGCTAACAGCGCCACTGTTTTCTCTCTCGCGGAGGCAGGACCGCTTTCGGGCTCCCGAGCTGACTCCCATTACACGCCGCCCCACAAAGGCAGACTGGAGCATCACCGTGTGGGAGTTCTGAGTCCATTCCCATGGCCAAGGCATTCCGAGTGTGGCACACTGCTCTGAGACACGCCTGCTAAGTCCCGCAGAGACATTCCTTGGGACACCACGGGGAGATCTTCCAAGGGCCACCGTCGTAAGAATCCCCTCCCCCCACCTCTCGGGGGCCAGGGCACTCACCGCCCACTGCTAACACTTCATTTTTTTTTTTCATTCATTCAAATGACTCCTGGGGCCACGCACCCTTCCATGTGCAGTAAGACAGAGAAATGAGGCGGGTCTTGGAGAGGAATCACTCCCCTCTTTAATCCAGTGTGGGTCGTTCTTGAATTACAATATCAGCAGTATAGCAGGGTAGCAGAGGAGGAGAAAGATGAACGACCAAGGGGAGCTAAGTACTTGACTTAACTGACCTCTCCCCAGGGAGGTCCTCCCTGGGCCAGGGGCAATGTGAGCATCTGTGTGTCCCCTCAGGGAGCAAATAGTAATGTCTGGAGAAGCCCTGTGTTAGGACAAAGGACAGACATTGCTGTTTGGTCTCCTTGGAGCAGTAGGGGGCCTTCGAAGGAATGTCAGCTGCCTAAGACACACAGCCTGGCCTCATGCACGTGCTTGCTCGTCTGGGAAGGGGACAGGGACTGCTTCAGGTGAGATCATTTGATAAAAAGTAGGCTTCTCCTTCCACCTAAGGAAGCCCATTTCAGGTGCACCATTATTTGTGGAGAGTTCTGGTTAGTGGAAGATCTGATTGGCCCCCAAAGCATATGGATTTGATTAGAACCTTCCTGTTATCTTAATTGCACAAATCTCAACTAAGCAAGTCAGGATCTGCTTGGATTGAGGGCACTTTTCCCAAGGAGGAGCCTCAGGAAGCATTGCCTGCTGGGACGGTTACATCTGGGACCTGAGCTCAAATCCAGACCCTCCCGCCCACTGGCTGTGGAGCCATAGGAAAGCAGTGAAGCCGTCTTTTGTGTCCAACGGACATAACAGCCTCCCTCCTGGTGGTAGCCGAGTACACAAAGCAAAGCCTCAATATACACGAGAAGATGTCATTATTAGTGGTGAGAGGGGTATCAATAATTAATCAGCCACAGCAAGTCTCGTGAAATGATTTCCTCATTTGTATCTTGCAGTTCTGCCCCCTCAGACTATTTTCTAAGCTTCTGCAACAGAGCGTGGCTTCCGAGGATGTTTATTTTTTTAATTAAAAAAGTTATTTATATTTTATGGCAAATACACAAAACATAAAATTTACCACTTTGGGCCATTTTTAAAGGGAAGGACTCAGTGGCAGAAGTCCATTCACAGTGCCAGGCAACCATTGCCACAGTTGACTTCCAGAATGTGTTCATCATCCTAGACAGAAACTCTGTACCTGTGAAAGATTAGGTCCTCCTTTTCTCCTCCCCCCAGTCCCCAGTAATCTCTATTCTACTTCCTTTCTCTTTGACTATTCTAGGTACCTCATATGAGTGGTATCACATAATATTTGTCCTGTTGTGTCTGGCTTATTTCACTGAGCACTGGGTTTTCAAGGTTCACGATCCATGTGGGAGCGTCCCAGGATGTTATAAGTCAGGTCAGCGTAAGTGGATTCTACTACCTTTTTTGTACCAGAAGCTGAAGATAAAGCAGTGAAGCTGCCTGACGACCCTGGCCCTGCCTCCCACCCCGCCGGAGCTTAATGTGGCCTCACCCCTATGGTCCATCATCATAGAGGGGGCGGAGGCAGGACACAAGCCCTATTCTGATTACAATCTAGATTCACCACACTCAGCCATGCTGCCTACTAAGTGCCAGACCTTGGTGGTATTTTCTATCTACTCCTCATTCATCGCTTTGGGCTTTAGAGTCAGACAGATGTGAATATGGTTTGAATCTCTAGCTCTGCCACCTGCTGGCCCATCTTCAAATACACACACGAAAAGTATTTGGCACAGTGTCCAGAATATGGTAAGCACTCATCAATATTAGCTGTGCTTTTCTTCATTCATCCAATGCCCATTTTCCAGATGTAACTTCGCAGGCTCCATAAGGACAGCAACCATGCTTGTCTTATTGTCATGACACCTGCACGCCCAAACACGGCATGGCACCTGGCAGTCAGTGTTTACTGAAGGAGAGAGCACAGCCGAGGCCCCAGAGCTGGGCTGTGACTTTGGAGTCTGAACTCGCTCCATGACTGCTCACTGTTTCTCCAGGAACCTCCAGCCACCCCGTGGCAGGGATGGGATGGGGAGGGGGGAGATCAAAAGGTCAACAAACAATGGCCGTGGAATGTGATGCTAGTCACTTCTTTTGACACAGGCAAAAAAAGATGCTGCCTCAGAACTTAGATGAGAAAGAATTCGCGTCACTTGACTTTCGTCCCTGCTTTGATATTGATGAACGAAGGGCTTTCACCTCAGTGCTGCACGTAACACAAGCTCTGCCTTAAGAGAGGAGTAACTTCTGCCATGGTAAGATCAGAAGAAGGAGAAGTGTGAACCAACCCAGAGGTCCAGGAAGGGGTCCAGGTAGGAAGGCGCAGAGAGAAGGTAGCTGATCATCACTCACCAGCTATGCCTCAGCTGTGGTTCTGCTGCGTAGCTCTTGGATCCCGCATTTCAGTGTCTCAGTTTCCTCACCTGTAAGAAGGGAAAAAAATTTTTTTAACGTTTATTTATTTATTTATTTATTTTTAAATTTTTTTATTTTTAAAAAAAAATTTTTTTTCAACGTTTATTTATTTTTGGGACAGAGAGAGACAGAGCATGAACGGGCGAGGGGCAGAGAGAGAGGGAGACACAGAATCGGAAACAGGCTCCAAGCCATCAGCCCAGAGCCCGACGCGGGGCTCGAACTCACGGACCGCGAGATCGTGACCTGGCTGAAGTCGGACGCTTAACCGACTGCGCCACCCAGGCGCTCCTAACGTTTATTTATTTTTGAGACAGAGCATGAATGGGGGAGGGTCAGAGAGAGAGGGAGACACAGAATCTGAAACAGGTTCCGGGCTCTGAGCTGTCAGCACAGAGCCCGACGCGGGGCTGGAACTCACGGACCGCGAGATCATAACCTGAGCCGAAGTCGGACGCTTAAACCGACTGAGCCACGCAGGCGCCCCATAACATTTCTCTTTCTGCCATTCTACATATGTTTTACTCCAATTCTATCAAGCCTGAGGGCTACCTCCTAGATTTGAAGGCAGAAGATTCAAAAGTGGTTGACAAATATGGTGAAGACACACGAATTTTATCTGAGAAGTATTCAAGGATTGCCTGGAGTGTATGCAGCACTGTGCCAGCCCCACGGAGGCTAATAAGTTACCGCCCCTGCCCTTAAGGACACACTGCTCAGCAGTTTTCATTTCACTGTATTTAATGTTTATTTATTTTTGAGAGAGAGAGAGAGAGAGAGAGAGAGAGAGAGAGAGAGAGAGAGAGAGAAACAGAATCCGGAGCAAGCTCCAGGCTCTAAGCTGTCAGCACAGAACCCGACACGGGGATCAAACCCATGAACCATGAGTTCATGGCCTGAGCTGAAGTCGGACGCTTAACTGACCGAGACACCCAGATGCCCCATTCAGGAGTTTTCATTTTCAAATGAAAAAAATACAGTAACAAAATAAATAAAATTTAAAAAATGAAATGAAAACGCTAACAGCAGAGGTGACTGTGTGACTCCCACATCCTCCCCACAAACTGCCTCCGGGAAAGATAATGAATGTCACTCTGGAGTCACGGCTGCAAATTTTAAAGAACCAACTAACCCAGTAAAGAAGTTTGGGATATGCTGTCAAGCAGCTGAACTTTCTTTGCCCTTTCACGAAAAGGATTTTAATTCCACAAAAAAAGTCATGATGATATAATGGATGACAATTAGGAGCATTAAGATCTGCCACTTAGAGAGCAATAGTGCCCTGAGAGCATCAGATGTGCGCTTTGCAGAGAGAGCTTTGAGACAAGAGCAGGGGACTCAGGCTGGACAGGGCGGCCCGCTACAGGACGCAGGTGCCCTCCCACTTGACTCCACGGGAGTGTCACCACGGGACGCTCACACCAGGCACATCAGGTCCAGCCTTTCCACCTACAAAACCTCCCTTTCCTGACATGGAGTAGGCAGTAAGACCACTGAAAGGAGATGAGCCAATGGAAAGAGAAAACCAGTTTGATATCAGAAAAGATGCACATTCTGATGCGACCCTGATCATTAGATGTGTGCCTTTGAGCAAGTCAGGTAACCATCTGTAGTGTTTCTGTAGACTGCACAGCTTATCAACGGCAGAAATTTTTGTGCTCACAGTGCATGAGGCCGAAAGTCTGAGATCAGAGCTCCTGAGGGCATGAGCGAGGGCCCTCCTCCAGGTGACAGACATCTTGCTATGTCCTTATGTGGTGGGAGTTCTCTGGAGCCTTATTTACAAGGGCACTAATCTCATTCATGAGGGCTCCACCCTTATACCTATCACCTCCCAGAGGCCCCACCTCCTGACACCATGATCCTTGGGTGTTACGGTTTCAACATATCAATTTCAGTAGGACACAAATATTCATACCATAGCAATAATGTTTACGTGGCCTGTCTGTTTTCATCATTTTACTTTAATCTTTCTTCTTCCTTGAATATTAAGGTGTGTCTTTTGTGAGCAGCAAACAGCTTTTGAAAAATTTCTCATCTGTCTGACAATCTTCATCATTTAATTGGGATGTTGAGTTTACACATCATGTGATTGCTGACACATTTGGGCTTAAATCTACTATCTTTCTATGAGTTTGTATTTATCCCATCTATTCTATACTCTTGTTTTCTAATCCTCATTTCTTTTGGAGATACCTATTTTTTATCTTATTTTTTCTCCTGTATTTGCTTGTTAGTTACATATGCTTTTGCTATCCTTCTACTTATCGTCCTAAATGTTAAAATATAGCATAATATTTCCTTATAAAGTGGTATTTTTTTAATGTTTATTTGAGAGAGAAAGATATCATGAGTAGGGGAGGGGCAGAAAGAGAGAGGGAGAGACAGACTCCCAAGCAGGCCCCACGCTGCCAGCACAGAGCCCAACATGACCTCTATTCCACGAACTGCAAGATCATAACCTGAGCCTAAATTACGGGTCAGACGCTCAACTGAGTGAGCCACCCAGGTGCCCCTAAAGTGGTATTTTTTATACTTCCTGGATAATGCAAAGTAATTAGAGAATTTTAACTCCATTTTAACTGTCCTGCCTACTGGATATTGTCGTTATTTTAATATACAGTTTTAGAATATTTCTCTATAATACATATAAAAATAAAATACTGTGTCTTAACACATATATGTGGATATGTGTGTGTGTGCATACTCAAACATATTTAAATCTCATAAAACCATATTATTATTATTGATTAATGCAACCATTTTTAGATTTAACCACATTGTACCTCTCACCTTCCAGTCACTATTATCTCTCCTAGAGTTAACCATTGCTGATTTCATTCACTGTAAATCCATGCTTATTTTGTTTCTTTTTTTTAACTTCATGATTTTTATGGACTTAATACGTATGCTTTTCTATGCCTGGCTTCTTTTACTCAATATTTTTCATAGATATTTTTTTAATGCTCTTGCAACTAATTTTAAACTGCTTATCCCTATGCTGTATAACATTCCATAGTGTGAATATATCACAATTCCTTTGTCCTGCCTTTTTTTTTTTTTTTCTGGACACTTGTCCAGACCCTTTTCCTTTGATTTTTAAAATTAGTTTTATTATGATGTACTTAGGTAGTGATTTTCTTTGTATTTACCTTACTTTGTGTGTGGAGAGCTTCTGGGTGGGATATGTGGTTTGGTTTCTTCCATCAGTTTTGGAAAATTCTCAGCGACTGACATTTCAAATACTGTCTCTGATCCATTCTTTCCCATGTCAGTTTCTGGGACTCAAATGATATGTTTCCTGTGCTCTTTCCTCTGTCTAGCATTATTATTGTCTTTCTCTGCTTCAGTCTTGGTTATCTTCTTCTGATCTTTATTCTGCTTTATTAACTCTCTGTTTAACTTTATCAAATCCGTATTTCAGTTATTTTATTTTCAGTTCTAGAATTTCTATTATATTCTTTTTATGTTTTATAGTTATTTACTCTAAATCTCCATTTGTTTTTTATCTCTGAATCATGGCCCTGCTAAAATCCCCATCTGATAACTCCCCTATCTGGATCTCCCATAGGTCTGTTTCTATTGTCTGGTTGACTTTTTTCTTTTTTGGTCCTATTCTATATTCTTTTAGGTCTGATTAATTTTGACCATGCGGCTTGTATTTAGACAGCGTAGATATCATTTGAGGCTCTGGAGGATGTATGCTCCTCCAGAGAGGATTCCTTATTATTTCTGGCAGGCAGCGAGCTGGGGCAGGTCACCTTAATGCAGTTATGGATTGAACTTCATCCTTTGTGAAGGGAGGCCTAATCCAGTATGAAATCTTTGGGGGAGGGGGTCAAAATGGAAACTCTGGGATATTTACCAGCCAGCCCCCCACCCCTCAGCAAGCTCTGAAATCCAATTTTCCCTCAATTGCAGGAGACTGATAAAATCCCTGCTCAGGCTCTTACCCTCTCTTCTGCTATCTGCTCATCTTTCAGTCTTTGTCACACATTTCCAATCTCCAAATTTTTTGGTGGGGGGAGGGCAGTGAGCTTTGCAAATGCCGGGCACCCCTCTCTGGCTTCCTATCTCTTAGAAACCTTGAATCTGCTAGATTTAATTGTTTCTCTAACTCTCTAACACTTTCAGACACATTATTCTTCCAGTATTTTTTTTTTCAGCCTTTCTAAGTGTGGGAAAAGGATCAGTCTGAAATAACCTACTTTGATATTTCCAGAGGCAGAAATTCACTACTATATGCTTTTATCTTTGCCAAATTGACAGATTAATTGGTACCTCATTATTATCCTATCCCCCTATCTAAGATTAGCACCGCAACAGCGGAGGAATCCACCTTCAAGTGATTGGAAAATTAAATCACTGTGTTTAAAAGTGACCAGAGGTCGTTTTTATATCTGAAAGTACCGCAACAGTGATGAGACCTACCCTTGATTTAACCAATGTGTAGGGGGGGAAACGAATACCCACTAAGCAGATTTGAAAAGGCAGTAGCTGGGAAAGAGTTGTTTCATGATCATACCCTGCTAAATTATGCTCATTCGATAAAATGCTTACAATGAGTACAACAATGAGAATCACAAAGACACCACAATTAATATTTTGACAAAATATTCTGCCACTTATGCATTTATTAATTCACCAAATACTGACTGGACACCTAACACGTGCCAAACTCTGCAAAGTACTCAGAGTGGAGTTGTACATGACGAGGAGCTGGTAGTCTTTCCTACACAGTTTGAATTAAGAACTACGGCTCTGGAGGGGCACCTGGGTTGGTCAGTCAGTTGAGTGTCTGACTCTTGATTTTGGCTCAGAACATCATCTCATGGTCATGGGATTGAGCCCCGCATCCGGCTCCACACTGAACGCGGAGTCTGCTTAAGATGGTCCCTCTCCCTCCCCCTCCTTTCCCTGCTTGCGCACACTCTAATTAAAAAAATAAATAAGCACACACAAAAATAACAAATTCTGGTTCTGCAGTCAAAAAAGATGTAATTTTATGTCCTCAGGGACAAGAGAGAAATTAATGTAATTTCAGTAACAAAGAATGTAATTAACGTTATACAATACTATAGTATTATTATACAAGAAGATGAACTTATGCTATCACTGACTGAATGAATGATTCATCCTCCCTGTGCTAGATTATCTCTAATGTTTTTTTCATTGAGTTCTCATAGTTTGTGTTCTATGACCCTATAAAATCTATGGATGGTGGTGAGTGAGAACGCATTTTTAGGTTCAACAAGTTCTTAACACCCTGAGACACTAGAGGGCAGGAAAACCACACCAAAAAAAAAAAAAAAAAAAAAAAAATACACATCCCCTTGTTGGATGATAGCATGGTGAGAAAAGGCTCTTGCTAGCCTGCATACTTTCTTCCTGCCTAGGAGGATCCTGCCCTGACCAGCTGGCATGGATCTTCCTCAGCACTTACATCTCTGACATAGGTCAATTGCATCACTGTTTTCCGGCTCTCAATCCTCTCTGCAAAGACTATTTTCAGGATGGAAATTCATAACCCTTGACTAGAAATAAGATGTAATATTTGAAATTGGGACTATCCTGGGAAATTTCCAATGCGAGGATGTTATAGCCAAAGCCTCTCGAGTCTCTAAGATTAGCACTACAACGGCAGAAGAGTCCACCTTCACTATGAATCTTCTGGTTCACCGAAGTTCACTCGCCTATTGAGTCAGAGTGGAGAAAAGCAAACTGGCATATTGTGTACCTAATACTTGTTCGTGTGAAAGCGATGGAGACGGGGCACAGGATAAAAGCATTTGGGGGATGACCTCACATCTGCTGTGCTGGCAGCAGGCACCCCGGTGATCACAGAGCCGAGGCTGGAAACTTCCGTGTGAGTGTGCAGAAAGAAATCAGCAAACAGAGGCAGGATGGTTCTGGAAAGTGGTAACAGTGGAAAACCGTTCCTTGTCAATTCAAAGAACAGGAAGTACAGGGACAGACTTCAAAGAAAGCAGGAAGGATTTTTATTTAAAACCAAGGGAAATATTCTCCGATTCTGAGGTGTAAGTTACCATGGGCAGAGCCTTACGCTATCGATCAACAGGACACAAGACTAGGGAGGGCCCTGTGACTGCGCATGCCCCAACTGTTCAGTGTATAGGTAAGTAGACTGGGACCCAGTGAGAGGTGGTCTTACACAAACTCTCACAGTGAGCCTCCGACAAGGTCACTCCTATTGCAAGTCTTGGTCCAAGATGTTGATTCCTTAGACTGAAAGTCCAGGCTTAGGGAATAGGTGATTTGGGTTTGACCAACTGGTATCCAATTATCGTTGGCATGGTTCCCAGAATGTGTTGAAGTGGTCCACTCAAAGCTAGGATTAGCCAGTTCTAGCTGGCCATGATTGTGAGACTTGGAAAACCATCATGTTCCCAGAAAATACTTTCAGACAAGAGTCTCTGCTCAGTTGGTCAGTTCCTTGTCTTGGGTATTCCAATCCTTCCATTGCCCAAAAGGTTCAGTGGTCACTGGGAGAGGCTGATGGGCTTATGTGACCACATATCTAACTCTCTGCTTTATTAAAGGATTAATAACTATTTTACCCAACCTGATACTCCTACCTTTCATCTAACCCAAGAGAATCTGATTTTTTCCCTCTTTTATTAGTGAAGATGAGCTTGTCAATTAGTTGAGATCACTCAGAGGGAAATGGAACGGAACTCATGTACACCTTATACTCATTATGAACCAGATAGTCAGAATGCTACTTTGAGCATAGGGCTATATTCAATTCTCACAACAACCTTGTTAGGAAGAGACTTTCATTCCCATTTTACACACGCAGAAACCGAGGTTCAGAAATGTTAAGAAATTGGTCAAGGGTCAAGGAAATTCTAAGCTGCAAAGTCAAAATTCAAAACATGGTGGGTCTCATTCTAAAATTCATTTTCCCTCAGATATAAGGAGAGCCTTAAGTAACTGAGGTACCAGAATATAGGGCGCCCAAACCATGGCAGAGAGAACCAGGAACGAAGGGGTTCCCAGATAGAAAGAGGATCTCTTCAAGTTGGCTGAAGGCTGAGCCCAGGGCCTATGACACAAAGTTAGGAGGACAGGGATGTGCTTTTAAAGTAGAGGCGGCCAATTTAATAATGTCAGACATTAATGTTGCATGACGCTTTGTGCTTTATGAAGCACTTTTATGTGCATTATCTCACTTGTGTCCCACTGCAATTCTGCAAAACAGGAGGAAATGATATTGCTACTGTTAGGTGATGTTTGAATAGATTGTTATGTAATTTGATATAGTTGAATAATTTTTCAGAAGGAAGGAAGGAAGAAGTGCCTGGTCTGTTGTACAGTCTCTCCATGTTCCACAAGGGAAAATTTGGCCTCATGAGGGTCAATTTCACTGCTATAACAGGAGCCAAGGCATTGGTGAAAAAGAGAGGGATCTTGACTGTCCGCCTTGCAGAAGAAACACCACTTTGGACATCGCCCACAGGACCCTCTCTTTTGCCAGGTGTGTGGGCCCTGGGTGTAGTACAGGCATGAAGCCTCCTGCATGTGTCATTCTCATCCATTTATTCATTCAGTTACCCATCCGCAAATGGGCATGGAGCACCTACTAACTGTCTGGCATTATGTTAAGCTTATAAAGAAAATGGCGGGTCAAAACCAGATGTTGTCCCTGCCTCACTGACCTGGGACTTTATCCTTCCTGCCTATCTGTTAAGTGTGTACTCATCTCCAACTGGGGTTTTAACTTTGATTCCCCCAATTACTAATCAAGTACCTTTTCATGTGGGCATCCACTAAAATGCCTTGTGTGAAGGGATGAAATGAACAGGTCTGTATTACTGTTAAGGTCTCTCTGGCTCCAGTATAGAGAATGGACTGAAGGGACTCTGCCAGAACGCTGGTCCAGCAGCCCAACCCTAACAGGAAGGCAGCTCGGGTCAGGGGCAGAGATCAGGCACCAGACTCTACAAGGAATTTAGGAGATAAAATTGAGAGCAGGGTCTTCAAATTCCTCAACATCTGCAGGACTTGAAAAGAAGAAATTAGAATTTCTGGAATTGGAAATTGGAAATCTTGGAATGTCTGAAATCACAGGTTTTTCTTAAAATACTTCCAACATTCTTTATACTCCTGCATCACTCTTATGGTTATCTGAAAAAATCTGTTGCGTACTTAAGAATAAATAGGAAGAATAGGAAATTTTAAATTTCATGGCTTTACAGAGAACGGTAGCTTGTAGCACTATTCAAACACTGGAAAAATGCCAGCAAATGTTATAAGATGGTATTCCAATAATGTAGCATTCAGATCTCCTACCAAGATTAATGATGCTACACAGAATCACATGTCAAAATTGCCAATTTAAGAACTTAATTTGTTTGTAAAACTCATTATTTCTTGGATCATCAGATTTGTATAAAGCATACTATGTGCATAAGCATATTAATGCTCATTTCATTTGTAGGGATGACTCACCATTAGCAGCAGACAGAGCCAGGGACACCACTTATAAACACGGCAACAGCTACAAGAGAAACAGATTAGATTGTAATCATCTGGGTTCCCAGAAATGTCCTCCTTAACCTTTCTCCTTGTCAGCTTCTGCTCTTGCTTGAAGCTTGAAGTCACTGGCTTCTTTCCAACCAGTACCATCTCTGTTACTTGATAAGCTTTACATCTCAAAGGAGATTTGTAATACTTATTTCCCATTTTCCTGACTTCTTGATCAATTTTTCTCAGAACTGGGGATTCAGAAGACTGCAAATTCCCTGAGAAATGCTGTTACCAAATTCTAGAATGCAAGCACGGGGCTTGAGGTAGACTGACATGTTCAACACTCTGGCTGAGAGATGGCTGATAAATCTCAAGCCTGTTTATATCTGTGTTCTCTCCATCCTTCAGACTGGTTAGTCATCATGAGGCAGGTCAACAATGAAGACAGTGAGGTAAATAAATAACCCTACCCTATTATACACAATCAGAACAAAATTTCCCAACAATGAACTCGTAATCCTCTTTGAAAAAGTAATCCACCTTTAGAAAGAGCATGGAACAGACCAAAACACAAATATTCCCCCAAATCTAGGGCTTTTCCCATGGGATCATTGAACCTTGGACTTGGGAAGGAGAGAAGATGGGTCAGATAGAGATACGAACATGATTCCTGTAGGATAATTTTCTCTTAGACATATTACCAGATTATTCATTGATTTCAACCCTGAAACAAAATATTTTGCTCAGTCAATAGCTACTCCTAAAGATCAGGTGGTTATCAAGGATGTGGAGAAAGGGGAATCCTTTTGCATAGTTGGTGGGAACGCTAACTGGTGCAGTCCCTGTGGAAAATTGTACGGAGTTCCTCAAAAAATTAAAAATAGAACTACCCTAGGACCCAGCAACTGCACTACTAGGATTTATTCAAAGGATACAAAAATGCTGACTTGAAGGGGCACATGCACCCCCATGTTTACAGCAGCACTATCAGCAACAGCCAAAGTATGGAAAGAGCCCAAATGTCCATCAACTGATGAATGGATAAAGAAGATGTGGGATATACGTGTATACAATGGAATACCACTCGTCAATCAAAAAGAATGAAATCTTGTCATTTGCCAACAACATGGGTGGAACTAGAGGGTATTATGCTAAGTGAAAGAAGTCAGCCAGAGAAAGGTACATGTAATATGATTTCACTCCTATGTGGAGTTTGAGAACTCCAGATGAACATAGGGGAAGGGAAGGAAAAATGAGATAAAAACAGAGGGAGGCAAACAATAAGAGATTCTTAAATACAGAGAACAAATGGGGCTGCGGGAGGGGAGGTGGGGAGGGGGCTGCGTTAAATGGGTGATGGGCATTGATGAGGGCACTTGTTGGGATGAGCACTGGGTGTCACATGTAAGAGATGAATCACTGGGTTCTACTCCTGAAGCCAAGACCACACAGTATATTAACTAACTTGAATTCAAACCAAAACAATAAATAAAAACTAACACTAAAAATATAATAAAACCATCTTAAGTTTTGAAAAGATTAGGTGGTTGAAAGTGTGAAAGCATGGCTAAGGCATAGTGAAGTATGCATGGTTTTTTAAAAATGTATTTTTATTTATTTATTTATTTTTGAGAGTGTAAGTGAGCAGCAGAGGGGGAGAGAGAGAGAGAGAGACAGAGACTCTTAGGCAGCCTCCACACCCATCACGGAGCCTGACTCGGGGCTCGATCGCAAGAGCCTGAGATCACGACCTGAGCCGAAACCAAGAGTCAGACGCTTCACCTACTGAGCCACCCAGGCACCCTGAAGTATATACATAGTTTACAAGATAAGATCAAGATAAAAAATATTAATACAGAAATAAGATAAATCCATTGAGATTTTTTTTTTTTTTAAAACCGAATTTGATTCTCTCCACTAGCAATAAACAAGATGTGTTAGATCTTAGATCCCTAAGATGCGTTAGAAATTCAGGGGAGGGATGAAAGCAGAGATAGTCTGTCTACTGGCTTATGGCCGTGGCCACCGGCAACATTTCTAACAGCAGTGTCTTCTCCAGACCTGTGACATGTATACTTACCTAGGAACGTATAGTAACTTACAGTGCTGAAATCTACACCTGGGCTGGGAAGACACTTGGCTGTTTGCCACTAAGTAATCAAGACCCCTCTGGGCATTTGGCATGGTCCCTTTTGTTCTGGTGCATTTGTCATAGCTTTCCCCACAGGGAATTATTTCTCAGGGTGTGTAGGAACGGGAAAACTGGGAAGAAAATGAAGATTGCAGAGAGAAGGATACAATGTGCTAGAAGAATCTTAAAGACCCAGAGCTATTTATAGATCTTGAAATAAATGGCCTTCCTTTGATTGGAAGAGGCACTTCTAAAAGAGCTTAAAAAAAAAAAAAAAGGACAAGAGATTGGTGGAAAAGGGGGGAAAATTATCTAAGACCTGTCTGTCTGGTATAATTTTTTCTTAGAAAAAAAAAATCAGAATTGCCACATTATCACATGTACCCAAAGGGAGAAAAAGAAGTTATTTGAAGAGGTGGCAGGTCTTCCAAAAAGGTTTCTTTTTCTTTCTTTTTGGAGGCTACAGATAAAAATCAAGAAACTGACTGAAAATTGGAGAAGAAACGTCTGGCTTGCTGGTGTATTTTAGGGTCAAAGTTTATTTTGCAAAGGCATGTGTGGTTAAAAAAGTCAGATACGAGGTCAGAGTATTCTTAGAAGACATTACATGCCGGGAGAACTGGAAAATACTTGCACAACTGTATCCACTCATTTTTTAAGTATAAATTACTTGACTCCAGTTCAAGCTCATTGTGAGAAATCAATTCAATTAAACAAAAATACAGAATAACAGAAACAGGCAATGAGGAGGTTTCAGAGCCAGATCTTAATCGACTTCATGGCTAGTGGGCATAAAGCAGGTTATCAAAATCTGCCAATCACCCAGGAAATTTAAAGTCATCAAGGGTATTTTAGAGCAGGGATTATCAGCCATGGTTGCCCACTGAAAAGCTTGAAGAACTCATAAAAATGTTTGAGGCCTGGTTTGCAGCAACTTTAATTTGACTGGTCTGGGGTCAAGACTTTTAAATGATCCCCAGATAATTCTGATAGTCAGCCAAGACCAGAAGCCACTGATCTAAGAAGCTAATTAGGGCATCAGACTCCTAGTATCTTTGTGTCCGTTCATTATCTCCTGGGAATCTGAAATCTGGGCTCTTCCCCTGGGCCAAGTTGGGCCAGACAGGGAAGACTTGCTGTGAATGGGGATGTCTCTTCTCCCTCCGGGGCCCTGACCGCTCTTTCCCTTTCTGTCTTCCTCTTTTCTTCTGCTTTTCCTTCTTCTTCGTTTTGCTTTGTCTAGACCTTGCTTTAAAAATTTTGTGAGGGGCGCCTGGGTGGCTCCGACAGTTAAGCGTCTGCCTCATGATTTCTGCTCAGGTCATGATCTCACGGTTCCTGGGAACAAGCCCCGTGCCAGGCTCTGCACTGAGAACACGGAGCCTGCTCGGGATTCTCTCTCTCCCCATCTTTCTCTCTGCCCCTCCCCTGCTCACTCTGAAATAAATAAATAAACAAACAAACAAAATTTTGTGACTCTCAGATGGGCATAAAACAAATGGAACTGTGGCTTTTGCTTCCCAGTCTACAGAGCTGGCTCCATCCAAGGGCATGTTTCATATACTAAAACCTCTTTTTGAAAACCATTTATGTCTTCTGGCTGGGAGTTGCCCTGCAACCCACGGTGGCTCTGGCTGCCAGGCTCCCACCTGAGCTTTAGGCAACCCCGGAACTGTTAACACGTGGCGACACAGGCGTTTAGCCGGAGCTCCTACAACGGCCCTGCTCCGGGATTTCACACTGCTCCATTAATGAAGATGCGGAGTGTGGCATCCTTAGAAGACACGTTCGCCAGCCGGACAACCCATGCAGATACAGTGTATCTGCTTTTGGGCTCTCTGTTCGCATTAAGAGCCCAGGGTCAGCTTGACCTGAAGCAGAACACAGGCAATCGGCCCCACAGGAAAGAATGGTTACTGTTCCTTTCCTGGGAATTTCTTTTTTTTTTTTTTTTTAATTTTTTTTTCCAACGTTTATTTATTTTTGGGACAGAGAGAGACAGAGCATGAACGGGGGAGGGGCAGAGAGAGAGGGAGACACAGAATCGGAAACAGGCTCCAGGCTCCGAGCCATCAGCCCAGAGCCCGACGCGGGGCTCGAACTCACGGAGCGCGAGATCGTGACCTGGCTGAAGTCGGACGCTTAACCGACTGCGCCACCCAGGCGCCCCTTTCCTGGGAATTTCAATCTCTTGCCACCACCTGCAACTCAACCTCGGCCAGGCCTCCACACACAGCGGGAGGGCCGAGGACAAGGGGTGGGGTCTTCTGAGCTCCCACATTCACCACCCCGGGCTGCTGCTTCTTTGTCCTTCCTTTTCTCCCTCCTGCCAAGTGTCACCCTCTCCTACCAGGCTGTGCGTGGGGCAGGGGTGGGGAGAAGGCCACGTGCCCTACGAGCACCAGGCAGGGCAAGTGTGTTTGCTTCTTGATCCTGAGACAAGGGAACCAAATCTCCAGGGCTGCACCATTGAGATTTTTGTGGATTGGACAAAATGAGGAGTAGCATTTGGCTACCGCTGGTCCAGGGCACGGCTGGCTGCGTCTGCCTTGGTTTGGCCTCCAGCCCTCACCTGCCGTTAGGCAGAACCCCTGAAGCCCGTCACTCTGGTGGATCAGCCCACTGGAGTCCCATTTGGGCCCTTTTAAGGCTCAACAGTGTAGAGCCCACCTCCCTGCCTTCTCCACAGGAGGCAGCCATGAGGGAAACGATCAAGGTCAGCATCACCTGCTGCTACCACCAGCCCAGGGCACCCCAAATGCAAGATGATACACGTTAAAGCAAACAAATCCCCTTTGCCATGCCCTTGGGTTGGTTTTGAGCTGACTACTCATTAGCCATCTAGCCTCTGGAGCAGTGGTTGTCCAAGTTCCCAACTCACTTGGGGAACTTGTTATAAA